TCACATCCCTGTCTGGCCTCGCTCCCGTGTGTCCTCTTTCACCTGCCCCATCCCTGGGATGGGGGCATCTCAGGCAGGGCCAGGTCGGGAGAGGAAGTGTCCTGCATGCAAACTCTGTATGTAGGAAAGACAAGCACATGCTCATGTGCATGGATGCTGGTCATGTCTCCCCCACCCCCACTCGCCCCTCAGCCTCCTTCCTGCCCACCTGCCTGCCACTGTCCTTAGGAATCTGGCTGCCCGTGTAGCCTGGCACTGGTGTGTGGCTGCTGCAGACCCTGGGGTCCTCTGGCTTTTCCCTACTTCCCAGCCCCCAGGTAGGGTCTCTTGCAGGGGTCTTTCCCCTGCCAGTCCCTCCCTTCGACAATAATTCCTGTGTTTCCCCTAAACCTTGCCAGGCCTTCAAGTCCTCACTGAGAACGCTGTGCAGGCAGACTGTGGGCAGAAGCAGTTTCTCAGCCCCAGAGCAGGAAGGGCCAGTGGGACCCCAGTCCCACCTCCCACTAGACAGGAAGCCCCACCAAGGCACAATCATCTCCAGCTCTGTGACGGGGCTTCAGCAAACCTTTGTTTAAATTAATGAGAGACCCCACCTTCCTGGGGGCTCAACTGCAAACAGGACAGTGGGAAGAGGGCCAGGAGGTAGACAGGGCAGGCCACTGCCTCCTGGTGCTCAGGGAGACCCAGGGAGAGCTCCCCTCCTTCTTCTCAGGAAGCCCCTTTCCTGCGAAGGCAAGTAGCCCAGGGGCCTGCCTGGCTCAACCCAGCTGCTCAGCCTACTGTGGGGTGGCCTTGGGTCTCAAGTCTTTTTTTGAGACAGAGTTTCGCTCTTGTTGCCCAGACTGGAATGCAATGGTACGATCTTGGCTCACCACAACCTCCATCTGCTGGGTTCAGGCGATTCTCTTGCCTCAGCCTCCTGAGTAGCTGGGACTACAGGCATGCGCCACCAAGCCCAGCTAATTTTGTATTTTTAGTAGAGACAGGGTTTCTCCATATTGGTCAGGCTGGTCTCAAACTCCCGACCTCAGGTGATCTGCCCGCCTCGACCTCCCAAAGTGCTGGGATTACAGGGGTCTCAAGTCTTTATCTGCAAAATGTGACCATAAACTATCTACTTCCCTGGGCTCTTGTGGAGATAAAATAAGGTTTCTTTCAATGCTTAGCAGAGTCGTATTCAGAATGAGGGGACTATTACTGTTACTAGCAATGAGCCGTGCTTCCCCGAGCCCCAGATGTGAACTGGAAGAAGAGAGGGGAGCCTTGAGTTGTGTGAATGGGGCTTTTCCAAGCCCTAGTTCAGGCAGATGCCCCAGGGACTGCAGGCCCACCAGAGGCATCTCCTTAGGGCAGGGGCTAGATGCCATGGCCCTCAAGGGCTTTCTAACTCCAGCTCCCACCAGGGAAGGGTGCCAGCCAGCCACACCCATCGCCCTAAACAACTTTGCTGCTGGATCCCGTCCACTGGTATCATTTAGAGCTTCTGATGCATGGGGGCTGGGGCGGGGATTCTTTTAAGACCTAAAGTTAATTATTTTTCTAATTTCATGCTGCATGCATTATGCATCAGCTGTTATCACTAGCGGTAATTGCAGACAGGTATGCAAATCCACTATAAATGCACCTAACTGCATAGGCCGTCTGGGCGGTGCTGGTGCCAGGCGACGGGATGTCCTGAACTTCAGAGAATGTAAATCGCTTTAAAAAAACAAGACTTTAGAATTGTGTCTTAGGAGGTTAATTATATTGATAATAGTGTTCGATATTAAACCATTCAAGGCCAGGAGGGGGTGGGGGGATGAAAGGAGACACGTGTAATTTTGTTCCTTTCCCTCTTGGCGTTATTTAATAAGATGTGCCTACACCTGATGTTTCTGTCTGTCTGTGTCCATTTTTAGTAAAGCTGCCTAAACTGAGACTTAATTCCTTTAGGAAAGGGAAAAAGAAAGCCCAGTGGGCTGGGCAAGGTGGTTCCTTGTAATCCCAGCACTTTGGGAGGCTGAGGCGGGTGGATCACCTGAGGTCAGGAGTTCAAAACCAGCCTGGTCAACATGGTGAAACCCCGTCTCTACTAAAAATACAAAAATTAGCTGGGTGTGGTGGTGCGTGACTGTAGTCCCAGCTACTTGGGAGGCTGAGGCAGGAGATTCACTTGAACCTGGGAGGCAGAGGTTGCAGTGAGCTGAGATTGTGCCACTGCACTCCAGCCTGGGTGACAGAGTGAGACGCTATCTCAAAAAAAAAAAAAATAAAAGCAAGCCCAGTGGAGTTTCAGAGTGAAGGAGAGGGGCTAAAGGTCTTTATTTTGGGGGGCGAGGAAAAGGAAGAGCAGCAGCACCAGCAGGGCTGGGGACAGTCCCCAAGAACAGGGCTGAGGCTGTGGGCTCTGCGCTGCTTCCCTCCTCAGCCTCCTTTAGGATCCTGGGCTGTAGCAGAGGGCCTGGAGAGGAGCAGTATGACTAGGAAAGGCTGGTGATGGGCGACACTCACTGATCCTAGATCAGAGGCTTGGCACTGGGCTCTGAGGGCAGGGCCTCTCAGGGGCTGAGAACAACCTTGAGAAGGTGGGAGGCAGGTCCTGCTCCATCATCAGTTTACGGATTGCCTCCTCCCCCTGGAATGTAAACTCCTACAGTTAGGACATGGTCTGCCTTGTGCCTGGCATGGAGCCTGGCACAGAAAGTGCTCAGTAAACATCTGATGAATGAATGAACAGGGCCACCAAAAGGGAGGCCCCTGAACCCAGGGCCGGGTGGTGGTAGAGAAGAGGGAGGCTGGCCTTCCTACAGCCCACCCCAGGATGCCATGGTGACCCAGGGTGCCCTTACCACAGCAGCCCAAAGAGGCAAAGGGAACGGTCTGGATTGTGCCACAGATGGCAGAGGGGTGGCCACAAACCCAGGCCTCAGACTTGATATCCGGAGCTCTCCCCTTCCCAGGTCTCCTACCACCTGTCTCAGCTGCCCAGTGGGACCTCTGTGGCCCCAAAGGGAGACTCTTGGCTGTCCCTACTCACCCCCACTGATATGGATGCTGGCCTGGCACTGCCTAACCACGTGTCTGTCTCCAACTATCAGAGGTGAGCCTCACTTTACTACAGAGGCCTTTTCCCCTCCTGCCCACCCCACAGATACACACACAGATGGAACTCGCCACTCAGGACCCTGGAATCATGAGATAAAGGACCTCAGCGATTGTCTGCTTTTTGCAGATGAGGAAAATCTGAGGCCCCGAATGGATGAGACAGGCTCAGGGTGGAGACAGAGCCCTCCAGCAGCTTGGGCAGCCTCCCCGCCCATCTCCTGGGGCCTTGGCGCCCAACTCTAACCCTTTCCCAGGGGTTTGGCACAGGGAGGGTGCTGGGGTACAGTGTCCCAACTCCAGCGGGGTCTCACGGGGGCTTCTCTTCTCCACCAGCAGGTCCGCAACCCCTCACGCCTGTGGGCTCACTCACGCCTGTGGGCTCACTTACGCCTGTGGGGCCACTCACGCCTGGGGGGCCGCTCATGCCTGTGGGGTCACGGCTGTTAGCATTAGCAGTAGCTAGCAGGGCTGGGTGCTTGAGTGTTGGGCACGTCAGAATGCTCTCGCCAGCTGGCCACAGCCTGTGTGGAGGGGAGAGGCTGCATCCCCAATGCAGAAAGGGGAGGCATGCAGGGAGGGGCAGACTTGTCCAAGGTCACACGCTCACAACCAGAGGGCCAGGCCCCAACCCAGGTCTGTCTGCCCAGAGCGTTTGTTCCTTGCCTCCCTTTGCACAGAGCCACTGAGCAGATCTTCCATGGCAGCAGGCCTGGGGGGCAGCAGCTGCTCCCCTCCAGCTTCGCTACAACCTAGGAATGACCCCCAAGCCCTCCTAGGGACTGGAGGGGCAGCAGGGACCAGGGCTGGGCGCTGGGAGAGGAGCAGCTGGGAGCAGAAGGGCTGCAGGGCAGGGGCCCAGCTCAGGCTCAGGCGCGTTTGCGGCCCCGCTGCCGGGCTGGCGCACTTTTATAATAAATAACAGCAAATAGCCCATCCGCAGGGCATCTTTCACGCCGGTGGCTAATAACACGGCTATGAATGCCCCCGCAGACGGCGTGCACGCTGTGCCGCTCTGACGAATGTCCCAGGCCCTGGTGCAATCGTAAATCAACCCCTCTCCTGAGGAAGAGCGTGGGAAGTGTCATTTTCCATCTTGGTAATGAATTGGGGCTTCCTTGTCCTGCCCAGGGCACGGTGGCTTAAGGTTGCCTGGGATTTGTGTTTTCCGAGGTGAGGTGCAGCCTCTCCCTCCGGCCTCCGGGGATCCTTGGAGGAATCAGCCCCACCTCAGTGGGAGGGAGCGCTCACCGCCTGCTGTGTGACCCTTGGGGCACTCACTGCCCTTCTCTGGGCCTCAGCTGGCTCCTGTAACCAACAAAGAGGCTGAACTGGAAGCCAGCGCAGACGATGCCCAAGGGCCAACAGGAGCAGGACCTTGGGCAGTAGCTTTGGATCAACCCCACCCTGGGTCCCTGGCCAGACAGCAGGTAGCAGACCCTGCTACCCAGATAGCAGTCCCTGATGTAGACTTGTGGACTCCCTACCGTTCAAGGGCAGCAGGCACCAGGGAAAGTAGCCTAGGTTACCAGAGCTCCTGCCCACCACCCACCAGGCCTCACTGCCACCACCATTAGGGAGGGGGCTCAAAATGAGATTTCCCCACCCCACTGCAGGGCCATTTACTCCAGGAGAGGCCATGCCGTTACATCCCAGGTCCAGCTGCTGGGTAGAGCCCAGCAGCACAGGGACCACCAGGTAGCAAATGATGCTTATGCCGGCAAGCAGAAGCCGCCAGCTGCGTGAACTGCGTGAGTGGGTGGATGGGATGGAGCTGCAGACCTGTGGAGACCCGTGGCGCTCTGGCCGGGAAAGGGGCCTTTGGAGGGTGGGACCCAGCTGTCTGGACGCGAGGAACCCTGGGCCACCCTGGAGCCCTTCCGAATTCACGTCCCTCTTCCCTCGTCCTTGGGCCTTACCTCCTTCGTCGCTGCAGCCCAGGAGCCCTCTGGGTCCGACGAGTTGCTGGTCTGAAGGCCCACGCCAAAGTCACGAAGCCGCAACTCGGGACACCGTGAGCTCAGATGGCGCTCACATTCCCGGCCCCGTGGTCCTACCAGGCCTTGCACCACTAGGGACACAGACCTCAGACCTGGGGTGACTGGGCAGTGCTGGGGCACCCCAGGGCACGAGAGGGGATCCGGTGCCTCAGTCTTCTGGTCTCCTGGCGTTCAGATGAGGCTGCGGGCCACAGTCAGCAGTATTCTTGGCACCCTAGGCCGCGGGCGCAGCTGGCTCCTCCCTGCAGAGTGAGGGTCCTGCGCACAGGGGGTACAGGGACACCCCTCTGGGCCCCAGGACTCCTGAGGGTGGCCTGAGGGGGTTCCGACTCCCTGTTCGTCGGGCATGCCCTGTGGCCTGGCACCCAGCCCCGAGCAGGGTGGCCTCTGCTGCTTGCTACCTCCACGGCCCTTTTCAACTCTTGCCCTTTTGTCTGCAGGCCGCCACCTCTTCTGAAAGGCCTCTGCGTGGCTTTTGGCTTTTACCTCCTTTTGGTTTACCAAGGCTTTTTTTTAAAATCCCTTTAAGTCACTTGGCAGAATGGGCTGGGTGCAGAGAGCGTTCTTGCATGACAGAGCTGAGAGGGAGCCACTCTCCAAAGGCTCCGTATTCCTGTCACTCAGGCTGCGTCTCCGGGGGGAAGGAGGGGGTCCATTACCCCGCTGAGGAGTTCAGATGTTCACGGTGGGGCTGGAGCTGCTGACACGTACAGCTGAGCTGTCAGGCCCCCACATGCCCTTCTTTGGGAAGATGCTTGAGGGGCGAGGGCCTCAGTCCCGCTTGGCTGCTCCTGTTTGTAGAGGTTTCCTTGCTGGGAAGGTAGGGAGGATGGGTTATTCCCGCTTCACCCCCTGGTCTTGTCTTTCCAAAAAGGAATCCATCTTCTCGCCCACTGCCTGCTTCCTTACCTGCCAAAAACAGTACCAGTGATTAAGCCCAGAGACATGAGGGACCACATTGGGATAGCATCCATCAGGGCCACTGGGCTGCAGCCCCCTTTGCTTTGGATACTGTTTTTTTTTTTTTTTTTCTTTTTTGAGATGGAGTCTCACTCTGTCGCCAGGCTGGAGTACAGTGGCGCGATCTCGGCTCACTGCAACCTCTGCCTCACGGGTTCAGGCGATTCCCCTGCTCCAGCCTCCTGAGTAGCTGGGACTACAGGCGCAAGCCACCACACCTGGCTAATTTTTTTTTTGTATTTTAGAAGAGGTGGGGTTTCACCATGTTGGCCAGGATGATCTTGATCTCCTGACCTCATGATCTGCCTGCCTCGGCCTCCCAAAGTGATGGGATTACAGGCATGAACCACCGCACCCAGCCTGGATCCTTTTTTTTTTCTTTTTTTAAATGCCACTTGCCCATGAGCCGGGGAAGGGCCTGGGGTTATTCTCCCCATCTCCTGCCTCTTTCCAAATCCTGACAACAGTTGGCTATGCATAGTGCCCAGCCTTGCAGCTACCTGGTTTTCCCTCCCTGGGAGTGGAAGGACTGGGAAGAGAAAAATGAAGTTTTTTGAGCTCCTGGCCGTGCAGGGCCACCCGCCCAGCCCAGAGCTGGCTCCAATTCCCCCAGCACCTGCTCTTCTTGCTAAATGTCATTCAAAAGCTCCAACTGGACCGCCATGGCCTGGGCTTCCAGAACAAGCACTGCCTTTCCCCACCATGGGAAGCAGAACCATCAGGGAACTGGGGAAGTTGGGTCTCCATGTTCCTGGCCTCTGTCCGGTGCCCACCCCACTTCCTAGGTGGGGGGTCAGTCCTCAACACCGGCAACCGCCCTCCCCTTCCGCACAGACGGAGGGCAGGGCAGGCTGTTCCAGAATCCAAAACAAAAGCCCGAGCCCTCCCCAGCACCTCTCATTAGTGCGGCATGTGGAAAGGCTGTGGTGCCCTGGTGTCCGTATTCCCCCTGCAGGAGCCCCTCTTTGGAAAAGGGCTTTTATTACACATCTGAGAGTGCTCGCTCTGGTTTGAAATCAGATCCAGATGGGCTCAGCTGCATCTGGGCACTTTTCTTTGTAGGGCCTAAGGTGGCTGATTTGAGAAATGCTTGTTGGAGGCTGTTACAAATAAAAAGAGGGATATTGGGGTTCATGTTTTAATAAGCCCAGCACCCAGATAGGAGGTGGCTGCCCACGGGACTCATAGCCTGGCAGGGAAGGCATTTGGGAAGGGTGTGTGCCAGCCAGGTGGTGTGCAGGCTGAGTCTGATGGGGTGGACAGGGTGGCGGGGGGAGTTTTCTTGGGACAAGCTGCCCTAGGAGAAAGGAGGTTTCAGAGCCAGCAAGCCCCATGGGACGTCGATTCTGAATGGCCAGTGCCTGGTGAATACTACAGGTGGGGCACAGGCCCTGGAAGGGGTGCGGTGGGGCTTACGCAGGAGGGAAGATGAGGACAGAGTCCCTGCGTGCGGGGGGGAAGGCGGCCGGCTCCAGCACAAGCCCTTATTGCTATTACCACCCTCGTGATTTCATCCAATTATAAATTGTAATTTCTCCATGAAAGCGAGAGATGGAGAAAGTCCAATGAGGTCATCTGCCTCCCTGGCCGGGGCGCAGAAATTGTTTTATACCAATGGGGGTGGGGCAGGGGCAGCAGGCTTCGGCATTTTGAGAGGATGACGGCCGTGTCCTGGGAGCCTAGAGCCTCCAGCCAGCCGTGGTCGCTGCCTCCCGATAAAGAGAGAAACCACTGAGCTCTGCTTTTGAAATTAAGAACCCAAAAAGGAGGCAGGTTCATCCCACCGGTGTGTTCGCCTCAGACCCTTCCCATAGCTTCTCAGCTTTATCCTGAGAGTGTCCCATAGCTGTCAGGATAGAGGCAATGCTGCTACGGTAGTCTCCAAGGGCCCTGCCCAGCCCACCCGCCGTGTCTGCCACTACTGCCCACTAGTGCCCTGAGCTGGCTCCAGCCTGGCCCTTCACTGTACTGTTCCCCTTCTGTAAGAATCCGTGCAGACGTCATCCCTCCCTTCCTGCAATGGGCCACCCTCCCCTTGGCTTGTGTGGTCCTGTGAACCATGACAACAGTGACATAGCATGAAAAGAATTGTCTCCCTGGCTTCAAGGGAGGACCTGAGGCTGGATCCCCCAGCGTCTGGCTCAGTGCCTTGCACACAGTTGGTGCTTAATAAATGTACCCAGTGAACTTCCCATCTGCTTCCTCATTTAGAAAACCAAGGCACTAAGTGAGGCTCTTGGTGCCCGTCCAGCTTTGTATGTCCTCAGTCCGCCTTCCCTGCTGCAGCCCCCACCCCCACCTTCCCTGGGGCCTGCAAAGCCTCCTGGAACCCCAGTGCTGGGATACTGGGCTCCTCGGCATCTATGCCCTCGATGAGTGGGGCCTCTCAGGCTTCTGGGGTGTGTATGGGTTTTCCAAGTGAGTCTGGCTGGCAGTGGTTGGGAGGTGTGAGCTCTCCAGCAGCACTGTGGCTCTTCCCTTGTGTGGGTGCATAATGATGATCATTAGTAGCCACCTGCATTCACTGAACCAAAGGAGGCCCAAGAATAAATATGTAAATGCATGCGCCTGGCAGACACCTCCCGCCAGAGCCACAGCGCCCCCAGTGGCCACCCTCCTGGCTCGAGTGAGTGGAGACCACGCCGTGTGAAGTTAGTAGTTACACTCATCCCCTTGGCCTTCCCTGTTCCCCTAGGCTCCAGGTCTGGTCTCCGTGCTCAAAACCAGTAAATCATTTTTTGAGTTAACATCATAAAAGCTTCCATTCTGAGTAAAAGTACTTTGAGATGCTTACACAATTCTACTTTTGTTATCATCAATAACATCATCACTGTATTAAAAGAAATTTGAAAGGAGGGAGAGAACGTCAAGTCCCCAGTCTCACATCTCTGCATTACCCTCTGCATTTTGGCCGAATCTGCCCGTACATATATGCCAGGGGACAATGCACCTTGTCCTTTCCCAGTAATTTCTGCCTTGCCATCTTCCCTGAGCTTGGGAAGACAGCATGGCTAGCAGGTCAGGGAGGACCACCTCCATTGTGTGGACTAAGAAGAGGGAGTGGGACTTGTCCAGGGTTATACAACCTGAAGCAGAGTCAGGGCCTCAAACTCCAGGCCAATTTCCTTCTGGCTACACTACTCCTAGACAGCGCAAGAGAAACAGACCATCCACCAAACACTGCACTGAGGGGCCCTGGGCTTCTCCTGAGGCTCTCTTGTGTACCCCTCCATCCATACATCCCTCCATCCTTCCATCTCTCCCTCCATTCCTCAATCCCGCCATCTCTCAATCCCTCCATCTCACCATTTCTCTATTCATCCATCCATCCATCCATCCATCTATCCATTCATCTCTCCATCCATCCATCCTTCCTTCTCATTTCTCCATTCACCGATCCATCTCTCCATCTGTCAACCCATCCATTCATCTCTCCATCCATCCTCCCATCTCTCCATCCTTCCATCTCTGTACTCATCCCTCCATCCCTCCATCTCTCCATCAATCCATCTGTTCACCTCTATCCATCCATCCATCTCTCCATCTTTTCATCCATCCATCCATTTCTCCATCTATCTCTCCATCTGTCCATTCATCCATCCATCTCTCCCTCTCCATCTATCCATTTCTCCATCTTTCCATCTACCCATCTCTCCATCCAGCAAACATATTCTGAGTCTAATCATGCTCCAGGCATTGTACAAGACATTGGGGATCCAAAGAGATGCCCCCATCCTCCAGGAGCTCACAGTCCAGTGGGGAGGGCACTGGTTTTCAGAGGGCTACAATCTGAGGTGCACACAGGGCAGTGTGGGAGCCAAGAGCTTTGAAGAAGATGATGCTGTGCTGTGGTTCTGGGGTACTCCCCACGTCATGACAATCCACATGTGAGCTCAGTGGCCATCCAGAGGGGGGCAGGTCTGGCTGGGTTTTCCCTTGACCACCCGCCTATCTTCCAGAGCCACTGCTCACCCTTGGCCCTCAGGGCTTCCTCCCGAAGTAGAAACGATCCTCAAGCCCTCAGCTTTACAGTTCCTAGCTGCCTTAAAGATCAGAGCTCTCTGATATTAATTCCTATATTAGCAATTAGCCCTCCTGTTTCATTTCAACCTTTGGCTCCTAGGGATGGATTTTTATGTATGTGTCATTAATCAGATGACTGGTATGTGCTGCTAGAAACCCAGGTGGGCTTTATGGCTGGTGACTTAGCGAAGTGGTGTTTTAAATGAACAACATGCCTGCCCCCTCCCTGGGCAGAGCTGCCCTGTGGCAAAGAGGGCAGAGTTTAGATCATTGTAAGCAGGTCAGAGCTGGTGCGAGCTAGGAGACCCAGGATTTTCTTTCATTTTGGACTTCCAGGCTGAGGTCAGCATCTGTATCTGACCTTTATAGATGAAAAGACTCTTTGTGACTCAAACTGGAGTTTGTTCCATGGCTGCTGACTTCCCCCTACCAGGATGGCTGTCCACAGAGCCCGTTCCTTTTTTTCCCATTGCAGAGAGCGGTCTGGGGGCTGCTTATTCCCTCTCTCCTGAGGGCACTGGAGACAGAAGGCTGCGGGCAGGGAGAGCATTGCTGTCTGGGGGCTAGGACCGCTCCTGTAATGGGCTCAGCATGTAGGGAGTAGGACGGGAAGAACATTTCAGGCTGAGGGAACATCCTGTGTGAAGGCTGGAGGGCTTAGTACAATGAGAGGTCAGTGTCCCAGAGCTCTGAGTGAGTGGAGGGCCGTGATCTGAGCTGAAGCAGGGCCCGGAGCCTGGCCTGGGGGGTGCTCTGAATGCTGCGCTGAGGGGCCTGGTCTTCGTATGAGGGCAGCGGGGAGGCCGTGAGGGTGCCCAGGCATGGAGGAGTGTGACCAGACTTGCAGTTTAGAAAGAGCATTCTCGCTGCTGCATGGAGACCTGGAAGGTGCCCAGGTGCACAGGAGAGGACCAGTGAAAAGCTGG